GTTGGAAGGTATCTTCTATACGGGCTCTTTCTAGAGCCCGGCCTTGTCTGACTTCATATAATATTTCTATGTAACTCAGCTGTCTACAATAAAAAGTTCAAAAGTTTCTCATTACACTCAACAGTACTCTATGTGTAGTATTTACTGTTGTGCTCTAATATTTTCTTTTCTGGTTTTGTTTTGAGACGGGGTTTCACTACATAGTTCAGGCTGTCCTTGACCTATTATGGATCCCAAACTGATCTCACACTTGCTGTGATCCTCTTGCCTCAGCTTCCTGAGTTTCTGTTTATTTTTTAATGCTGATCATAAACTAATCCATCAAGTGATCCATTAAGATCCCATCAAAGAATCAATTTTGTTAGCACTGTTAAGACACTTGGATTTTTGGAATGCCCTGTCATTGCCTTGCTGAATTTGTGGGTAATTCTCTGTACCTCCTTGAACTTGAATGACCTGGAAATTTGGAGGACTGTATCACATTCGTCCCATTCAGGGCAGTTTATAGTAGTGGGTCTTCCTCCTCCTATTCCCATAATATTATCCTGTCATATCAGAATGCTAGGTAGAGAAAATAGAAGATAATGTGTTGTGAAAGACTTCATAGATATACAGAGGGTTACTTTATCCTGGAAGTAGTGGGAAGTCTGAAAGTTTTCAAATATATGACTTGGAAGAATACTAGAGGAAAGGCTAGAGGTAGGCACAGCCTTTTTATAGGGTACATAAGAATTCAGGAGGAAACTACTTGTCCCTCAGACAAAGGACTTCTATCTAGAACACAGAAAAAAATTTTAAAAATCAGGCACCCAAAATTCAAAGAACCAATCCAAAAATGGGCATTGGAGATGAGTATACTCTTTTCAGATGAAGAAATAGAAATGGCAAATAAATACGTGAAAAATGTTCGATATCCTTAGTCATCCAAAAAATGCAAATTAAAACAACGCTGAGATTCCATCTCACCCCAGAAAGAATAGCTGTCATCAAGAAGTCAACCATTAACAAACGCTGACAGGGCTGTGGGGAAAAGGGAACCCTTCACTATTGGTGGGAATGTAGACTGGTACAGCCACTGTGGAAATGTCTCAGTGAACTAAGATTAGAGGTCCTATTCAGCCCAGCTATTCCTCTTCTGGGTATCTTCCTAGACGAATTAAAAACATACTATAATGATATATGTGCACCCATGTTAATAGCAGCACAATTCATAATAGCTAAACCTTTTTTCTTTTTTTTTTTTTTTTAATGTATTTAGTACACGGTCTGCAGGATCTTACTACACAGGTCAGACTCGTGATCCTCCTATTTTCAGCCTTCCAAGTGCTGGGATTACAGGCGCACGCCACCACACCTAGTCTCAATTGCCGGCTGGGATTGAACCCCAGTCCAGTCCCCCATTTCTGCATCTGCCTAAGCAGGCACTTTAATCTGTTGAGCTATCTGGCCAGCCCTCTGTAATAGCTAAATCTTTTTTTTTTTTTTTTTTTTTTTTTTGGGAACTGGGGATTGAACTCAGGCCCCTGCACTTGCCAGAGAAGCGCTTATTCTACTGAGCCATCTCCCCAGCCCCTGTAATAGCTAAATCTTGAAAATAACCCAAATGGCCATCAACCAAGAATGGATAAAACAGATGTAGTATTTTCATACAATGGATTATTACTCAGCTATAAAGAATGCTAAAACTTGAGACTTTTATAGGTAAATGGAT